TAAAATCTCTTATGCATGTGTCCATACAACTGAATTGCTATTCATAGCAATTCAGTAACTGAGAAATGAACCAAATCTAGTTTCTTTAATCCTGGGATAAATTTAACTCAAGAACACAGGTGGTTTGTATTCTGCATGTGTGAATGGTCTACAGCTTTTCTGTGTTATTAGTCTGGTTTCAGCCATTTTAGCAATTCCATTGTATTTTGTTCACAGCTTTTGGCTTCCACCCTTTTTCATTTTCCGTTTCTTCTGCCAGACACTTAATCAGCCTCTCTGGGAACTTACATAGCTCCCATGACCACTGTGTAAGAACACCTAACAAACATTAATGCCTTTTTGTCTTCACTGCACCCTTATGAATAAGAACAGTGTTAAGTCCCATTATACAGAGAAGGAACAAAAGGACGGAGACATTAAATGATTTGGCTATGAGTGGAAGAGAAATCTGTAAAGCATCAGGAATTGAAGGCAAATGGTTAGGGGTGGCCCCAAGCACCTCTTACCTACTCTCTGCCCTTTGTTGATTATGAGTAGCCTCAAGCATCTGTCGCTCTTTCAAGGCACAAGGAAGACTCTTGGAATTCCCATAATGGAGGTGCCTGTGCTGGGAGTCTGCTGTCACATCTCCATGGTGAGAAAGCAGCTCTCCCAAAGGATAATGGTGAGAATCAAAGTTGGGAACCCCTCTGTCTTTCCCTCTCACTCTGTCAAACAGCTAGGATGCCTGGGCTTCTAAATCAAGCACCCAAACCTGCTCTCTAAAGTATATGGTATGAGTCATTTAGCTAACATAAAATGCCCTATACTGATCCACAAAGAGAATCCCATAAAGTTTTTCATGTCTCTTTTACCTGCCCACGCATATGGATCATTCATCACAGTAGTATCTGAATGCCTGGTTTAACCAGTCACATTAATTATTTTGTTTTAACATTGGATTTTGACTACTGGTTGCTGCACTCATTTCTAATTTCATCTATTTTTTTATCTGACATAAAGAACACCATTCTGTTATAAGGCGAGGTGGGGTGGGCTGTGAGCAAGTTCCACAAATTCTGCAACAGCTCCCACCCCTCCTGCAACCCACTGACTCTGCATGGCACATTATCTGCCTATCGATAATCTTTTATCATATTCCATAATAAAATCACATTCTCCCACAGGCTGCTTTTTCTTTTCTCCCCTCTCTTGAAAGATATTGGGAGTTTAATAACTGTAGCAGTTTGGATTCCTCTCTGAAGGAACAAGAAGCCAGGATGGATTAAGAGGTAAGTGAATGTTGCCTAGTCTCTTTGTTCTGGTTTTGGAGAGCGTTATTTACAAAGATATAAACAGATACGTAACTGTACACATTTATCTCACACTGCTCAGCTGTTTCCTGCTCCTCCCCATTCTCACCCCATACAATGGGTGGTAAGAGTTCAAAATGCCTCTGATCCAGCCCTTTACCTATGCACGGGCAGCTCTTATCTCTTCCCTGTGTGTGAGCGCCTGCAGGGTAAATGCAATGGAAGAGGGGGTGCCTACTCCCCTGCACCTTTGCGCAGGAATGGGAAAAAATGTATTGAGGGGAGTGTCAGAATTTGAGTTTTGTTTTATAGAATATTTGTTTAGTATAATAAACATCTGCAAATGACTATTTGTTTCATGAAGTAATTAACATTTCTAATTAGATGCACCTTGCAGCTGCTGTTAATCTTAATTGGCAATAATGCAGTTACATTTTGATACATATCTTCAAAAGAGCTACAGAAGAGAAGGGGAAAAAAAAAATAAAGACAAAAATCTGAAGGGAAGGAAATAAAACTGTTCCCACACAGTTCAGAGAGTTCGCACAAAGAAGATCCCATGGCAACAGCGAGGCCCACAGTTTGCCTTATAAAAATCCAAGAATAGATAATGTATCATCTCTCCTAAAACACTTCGCTTGGGAAACCGGAGGGGAAGCGGGGGGAGAAGAATAAAATGAGGCACAAGAGGTGAAGGGAAGCAGGCTGACCGCCGCTGGCGTTGCGCGGCCGGCGCTGTCCCGGCAGGCGCGGAGCGGAGC